ATCAACATAATTAGAAATGAAAATAGAGAAATCACAACAGACAACACAGAAATACAAAGGATCATAAGAGACTAATATCAGCAACTATATGCCAATAAAATGGACAACTTGGAAGAAATGGACACATTCTTAGAAAAGTATAACTTTCCAAAACTGAACCAGGAAGAAGTATAAAATCTTAACAGACCCATCACAAGCACAGAAATCGAAACTGTAATCAGAAATCTTCCAGCAAACAAAACCCCAGGACCAGACGGCTTCACAGCTGAATTCTACCAAAAATTTAGAGAAGAGCTAACACCTATCCTACTCAAACTCTTCCAGAAAATTACAGAGGAAGGTAAACTTCCAAACTCATTCTATGAGGCCACCATCACCCTAATATCAAAACCAGACAAAGATGCCACAAAAAAAGAAAACTACAGGCCAATATCACTGATGAACGTAGATATAAAAATCCTTAACAAAATTCTAGCAAAACAGAATCCAACAGCATATTAAAAAGTTCATACATCATGACCACGTGGGCTTTATCCCAAGTATGCAAGGATTCTTTAATACCACCAGAAAATTATTAGAGCTCATCAATGAATATAGTAAAGTTGCAGCATATAGAATTAACACAGAGAAATCCCTTGCATTCCTATACACTAACAATGAGAAAACAGAGAAATTAAGGAAGCAATTCCATTCACCATTGCAATGAAAAGAATAAAACACTTAGGAATAAATCTAACTAAAGAAACAAAAGACATATATATATATAAACTATAAAGCACTGATGAAAGAAATCAAAGATGACACAAATAGATGGAGAAAAATGCCATGCTCATTGATCGGAAGAATCAATATAGTGAAAATGAGTATACTACCCAAAGCAATCTATAGATTCAATGCAATCCCTATCAAGCTACCAACGGTATTTTTCACAGAACTAGAACAAATAATTTCACAATTTGTATGGAAATACAAAAGACTTCGAATAGCCAAAGCAATCTTGAGAAAGAAGAATGGAACTGGAGGAATCAACCTGCCTGACTTCAGGCTATACCACAAAGCTACAGCCATCGAGACAGTATGGTACTGGCACAAAGACAGAAATATAGATCAATGGAACAAAATAGAAAGCCCAGAGATAAATCTACACACCTATGGACACCTTACTTTTAACAAAGGAGGCAAGAATATACAGTGGAGAAAAGACAACCTCTTCAACAAGTGGGGCTGGGAAAACTGGTCAACCGATTGTAAAAGAATGAAACTAGAACACTTGCTAACGCCATACACAAAAATAAACTCTTAATGGATTAAAGATCTGAATAGACCAGAAACCATAAAACTCCTAGAGGAAAACATAGGCAAAACACTCTCTGACATAAATCACAGCAGGATCCTCTATGACCCACCTCCCAGAATATTGTAAATAAAAGCAAAAATAAACAAATAGGACCTAATTAAACTTAAAAGCTTTTGCACAAGGAAGGAAACTATAAGCAAGGTGAACAGACAGCCTTCAGAATGGAAGACAATAATAGCAAACGAAGCAACTGGCAAAGAATTAATCTCAAAAATATATAAGCAGCTCATGCAGCTCAATTCCAGAAAATAACTGACCAAATCAAAAAATGGGCCAAAGTACTAAACAGACATGTCTCCAAAGAAGACTTACAATTGGCTAACAAATACATGAAAAGATGCTCAACATCACTCATCATCAGAGAAATGCAAATCAAAACGCAGTGAGGTACTATCTCATGCCAGTCAGAATGGCTACTATCCAAAAGTCTACAAACAATAAATGCTGGAGAGGGTGTGGAGAAAAGGGAACCCTCTTACACTGTTGGTGGGAATGCAAACTAGTACAGCCACTATGGAGAACAGTGTGGAGATTCCTTAAAAAACTGGAAATAGAACTGCAGTATATCCCACTGCTGGGCATACACGCCAATGAAACCAGAATTGAAAGAGACACGTGTACCCTAATGTTCATCACAACACTGTTTACAATAGTCAGGACATGGGAGCAACCTAGATGTCCATCAGCAGACGAATGGATAAGAAAGCTGTGGTACATATACACAATGGAATATTACTCAGCCATTAAAAAGAATGCATTTGTATCAGTTCTAATGAGATGGATGAAACCAGAGCCTGTTATGCAGAGTGAAGTAAGTCAGAAAGAACACCAGTACAGTATACTAGTGTAGATACATGGAATTTAGAAAGATGGTAACGATGACCCTATATCGAGACAGCAAAAGAGACACAGACAGATGTATAGAACAGTCTTTTGAACTCTGGGAGAAGGGGAGGGTGGAATGATTTGCAGGAATAGCATTGAAACATGTATATTATCATATGTGAAACAGATCTCCAGTCCAGGTTCTATGCATGAGACAGGATGCTCAGGGCTGGTGCACTGGGACGACCCTGAGGGATGGGATGTGAAGGGAGGTGGGAGGGGGGTTCAGGATGGGGAACACATGTACACCTATGGCTGATTCATGTCAATGTATGGCAAAAACCACTACAATATTGTAATTAGCCTCCAATTAAAATAAATTAATTAAATTAAAATAAAAAAGTATTCCTTTTACTCAATCCTATTGATAAAGATTTTAAGAGTAAAATAGTAAAATATGTGTATAAAATCAGAGTCATTTTCTGCTCAGGTTTTTTTTTCCTTCAGATAGCTAGTTTGGGTTTATTTTTATTTGTCTTTTAATGGTTTTTCAGGTTTTAGTGTTGATCTATTGATCTTTTTAATATTGCTCGGATTAGAAGGTCTCTTTTTGTCAGTAATCCCTTAAAAGAACTCAGGCTTCCCTAGTGACTCAGTGGTAAAGAATCCACTTGCCAGTGCAGGAGATGCGAGTTCAGTCCCTGGTCAGGGAGAGCCACTGGAGAAGGAAATGGCACCCACCCCAGTATTCTTGGCTGGGAAATCCCATGGAGAGAGGAGCCTGGCGGGCTACAGTCTGTGGGGTTGCAAAGAGTCAGACATAACTTAGTGACTAAACAACAACAAAGAGGAACTTTGGGACAATACTTTATGCATATATTATTGTTCTTTATTATAGGTAAAGCCTTGGTATAGGAAGAATGGTAACATAAATTTAAATTGTAAAAACTTTCCTACCCAAGCTTATCTGACATTTCTTTCACCCATTACCATTTCCCTCCTAGCAGATCTTAGGAATGTTCCTGAGGTTCTGATGTTCCAGACTTGAATGTCAGCAAGAGAATAAATGACTGTTAGATACCGAAAATGACATATAAATAACAACTTTGTTAAATGATCATACTGGTTATCCATAGTTACTTTGGTAGATCTTTAGGTTACCTTAGATAATTAGTGAAAGTGAGTTCTTGCACTAATTTTTCCATATCAGTTAGTAATTTCCCTCCCTTGGAACTTGTTTTGCTTAAACTAGCTGACAAAATAGGGAAACTAGTTAGGATCTCTGGTTACCATTAGAAATGAAAGTTAACTGTTATTGAGATTACTCCCACCTATCCATTTATGTAATAATATAAGGAAAAGATTTTTGTTCTTTTAGACTTCCCCTTTCTAATTAATAATTAGACCAAAGGTTTTAAGTTGCCTGAATCACTAATGTGAAGTTCTGTATGTTATGTATAGTAAATTTTGTTATTTCCGAAATGAGGCAGCAGTGATTCTTTCAGAATCTTTATTTTGGATCGTAGCTTACTTAGCTCTTTGAGGGATTTTGTGTTATAGTAGTTATGGCATTGTAGTATATCCTTTTATCTCTGCAGCCACTTGGGGAGAAGGTGTTGCCTTTATTAGGGTTTTGCACGAGGAAACGGAAAGTCAGGAGTTTGAGTAGTCTGAGAAGAAACAGTGCAGCCAGTCTTAGAAGGGTATCTGACGCCAGTGCCAGGTGAGTTGTAAATAGGGGAATGAAGAAAAATAAGAGAGAAAAATCAAATCCTCAAAGTAGGAGAGAAATTAGGCCATCTTAGGATAATATTTTTTAATGCCTGAAGCTTACATAACTTTTATAAAGTTCCTAAAATGCTTTTGATTCTCACCACAGTCCTGTAAGATAGCATGCGTGACAAATATTCTCATTGTACAGGTGAGGAAACTAAGGTCTGAGCAGTAAGTGTAGGTTAAGGGAAAAGACCTCTTCTGATCCTCACCCAGGCGTGTAATTCCAAGCAAATGGTGAAGGACAAGCCTAACAGGGGTTCCCAGTGTTGCCTGCACATCTGACTTTCCTGAGGGGGTTGGGAAAATACTGGTGCCTGAGCCAAATCCTCAGAAATTTTCACTGGATGGATCTGAGGTGAGACTTGATCTATGGTATTTTTGTGATTCTGTGAGGAGGTCAGAATTGAGACCACAGCCCTGATACAAAGTGTGGTAGTGTGAAAGGTGAAACCTGAGGGTTCTGTGGTACTTTGGGCAAGGTTGCTTCAGTAAGAATGGATATTCACATTCTGCTTGCCTACAAGTTATTTGAAAATATAAAGAGAGAATTTTTATAAAAGCCCACTGAAAATACAAAAAAGGATAACATAACTCCATGATCGTTGTCATTATCACTGGGGAAACATCAGCGAGGTGACTTTTGCTTAGTTTTCAGTTCTGGTATCTAAAATAACTGTCACTGCTGTGTATGCATATCATAAAATAATATTGACACTTATTTCTAATTTGGTTCCTTTCATGAATCTCAGGACAACATACATATTTAAATCAAACCTAGAGATTAAAACATCAATAGGAAAGAATTGAAAATAGTAGCAAGGATTGTATCTGTCTTTATCCCTTGTAACCAAGGTAGTACCTTATCGCATAGGAGGTTCCTGTTAAATATTAATGAGCTGAGCAGATTTTGTGAAGGTGCATGAAATTACTGTAAAACGTACTAGTTTGATTTTTATGACATACAAATTTGGAACTAATACTTAGAGCAATTTTATAATGGTTAATACTGAATTTTTTCTTAATACGATCTGTTTTCTTTTAGGACCTATACAAATCAGCCTTCTTTTATTTTGAAGGAACATTTTATAACGATAAAAGATACCCTGAGTGCAGAGATTTGAGCAGGTATAGTTTGCAAAAATCTTCTCAAAGTCTTTGCTATTTCTCATCAAAATAGTGGTATCTCCACAAGTCCTATTATTGGTGTGTAAAGGATCTTTGCCAAGGAATTATTTTGTTAGATTGTTTTATTAGTTTTCAGATTAAAAAGTCTCTCTCAAATTTTTAAAATATTTTCAAAGTTATTTCATCCAGTTGGCCTAGGTTATAGTAAGTTAATCAAATTTTTACTGCTGTGAGAAAATTCTTTTTACCAAAGACATACATAGATCATTTCAAGATCTTTGTCAGCTATCTAAACTTAAAAAAAAAAAAAAATATTATCTACTGTTTCAGAAATTATAGTTAATCTTGTGTTGAGTCTTATAGATAACATCTGGAAAAAAGTAAATTCTACTTCAACACTTTATTAATCTCTGTTCTTCATATTTAGGTGGTAGTAAATTAATTCACTTTTTTTTATACTTGTCAAGTATACTATTTGTCCTAGGTGAGTGGATATATATAAGTTGTTTATGTATGTAACATGAAAAATCTATGTCTGACATCATGCTATCTACATAAAAGTTTACCATACTTTAATCACTGGTGTCCTGACAACTAGAGTATGTATATATGTATAGTTTTTCTGAGTGTTTATATAAACTCTTTCATTCTCTTTCATTATAAATACTTGTATCTGTATTCTAATGCAGCAGTTCTCAAACTTGGTCTCCACACTCCTTCATACTGTAAATAATTGACTCCAGAGAGCTTTTATGTGGGTTATAGCTGTAAATATTCACCATACTAGAAATCAAAACTAAGAAATATTTTTAAATATTAACTAATTTAAATAATCTGGGCTTCCCTGGTGTTCCAGTGGCTAAGACTCTGCCTTGCAGTGCAGGGGACACCAGTTCAATCCCTGGTCTGGGAAGATCCCACATGCCACAGGGCAACTAAGCCCATGTGCCTCGGCTAGTGAACCTGCGCTCTGGGGTCCAAGGGCTGCCCCTGCTGAGCGCACATGCCCTAGAACCCATGCTCTGCAACATGAGAAGCCACCAGAACGAGAAGCCCACACCACAACTGGAGTAGCCCCTCCTCTCTCCAACTAGAGAAAGCCTGTGTAGCAATGAGGACCCAGTGCAGCCAAAAATTTAAAAAAAAAAAAAATTAAATAGTCCAATTACAGTTACCATTAATGACATATTTGTGAAAAATAACTTTCCCAAACAAGTAGAAGAGTGATGTTATACATTTTCCATTCAATCTTAAGTGATTACACATCAGTTAGCCTCCTGAAAACTGATGTTTATGAGAGAAAAACCGGTTGAAAGGGCAAATAACATTTTAGGATTACTGCAAAGACATTTTTGACCTCATCAACCTCTGGGGGGTTTCAGGACCTTACCTTGTTAACTGTTGTTCTCATGGATACAGAAAAATTCAGAGGTGGATACAAAAAAAAATCAGAGTTCCTTCCTACTTGGCAACATGTATAAACCACTTTGATTTTCACCTCAAGATGGTAATTGTCCAATTAATTGGGTGAGCCAGCTTATGTGAAATACTGCAGTTGCAAACTGTTTGGAGCAATGATACATCCTTGCCTTTTTCCTCCTCAGAACCATCATTGAGTGGTCAGAGTCCCATGATAGAGGCTATGGAAAGTTTCAGACTGCTAAGATGGAAGACTTCACCTTCAATGACTTGTATATTAAAGTGGGTTTTCCTTACTTATACTGTCACCAGGGAGACTGTGAACATGTTGTTGTCATTACTGACATAAGGTAAGTGGTAGCACTCAGAACATTTGTCCTGTTTTATTTCACAGTAGAAAACCATGGGTAGATTTGTTTGAAATAAGAGGAATAAAAGAAATGATCACTGCAGCTTGACTCAGGAGCAGCAAAAATATTTGCTTTTTCTACAATGACCCACTCTGCATCTGCATCTTGTCTTTTAGAAAATCTGTAATAAATACTGTTTAACCAGTGTGAGCCATTTGAAATGGTCCAACTCTTTGTAATGCCATGGTCTGTCCATGGAATTCTCCAAGCAAGAATATTAGAGTGGGTTCTCTGGAGAACCCCCATATTGTATTTCTGAAGAAGATCCCTTCTTCAGGGGATATTCTTGACCCAGGGATCAAACCCAGGTCTCCTGCATTGCAGGCAAATTCTTTACCATCTGAACTACCAGCAAAACCCTATTTGAAATGGTAGAATATGCCAAAAATCAAGAAAAATAACTGAAGCTTCTCCTCTGCCCAAAGACAGTGTATGACTTCTGTGAATCTCCTTGGGCCCCCTCCTCCATTAAACAATACTAAAAATTATATTTTATCACAGTGCTGGTATTAAGACAGATACAATACAGGCTAGATTTTTGCTATAAAAATATTTATTTAGGGGCTAGAAATTTGTAAATACTCTATTGTATCTTCATTTGTGTATTGGACAGCTGTTATTCAAGTAGTAATCATCCATTTTGTATTTTATATAGACCCTTTGCTTTGCAAACCTGCACGTGCATTTCTAAGTTTCTTTTCTTTTTCCCAGATTTTGAAGGAAATAAAAGGGAACTGGAGGAAGAGAAGAATAATTCTAATGTTTGACAAATATGAAGACTTAGTGCTTTGATAAAGATTTAGAGTGGGAAGGACTTAAGTAGTCTTAAATGAGAGTTAGGGATTATAAAGTTTGTGTAGCTGGTATCTCTAGTGAATAAAGCTTTTCATTTCCTTATTAGGAAACCTTTGTTTATGAAAGACTACCATAGTATAGGAATAAGCTCTGCTTGATCCTTGGTCTTAGTTTGATTTCTTCTGAGAGATAGTGAAGATGTTCTTATGGAGCAGTGACTCATGCTGATGGCTTTCCCTGCCTCTACTTTTTTTTTTGGTTTTAGTGACCAGTCTCCAAAAATTTACTTCCCATGTCCTCATTCTCAGGAACGTACTTTGTGTAAAGTACTTTACACAAAGAGTACACCTTGAAAAAGGAACACATGGAATGCAAAGCAGGACAGATAAGACATAAAAGGAACTCTCAGAATGATAGCTGTCGAGCAGACCTAGAGAACAGCTTAGTCCAGAGACTGGACCCGAGGACTCAGGAAGCACGTCCCAAGGCTGCTAGACCTCCCACTGGTGTGTGGCCCATGTGAAGAGCACGATCCCATTCTGTCAGCAAATAGGGAACTGAATTAGTGACAGGCACACTGAAACCTAATAAGGAATGCAAACATGAGATAATCAGTAGCTAGAAAACAAGTGTTACATGAGGAAATGAACCTATAGTCACTTGTGTGGTTTAGGGACATGTTTAATTCATTAGTCATAATGTAAACATTAAATATCTATTTAACCAAAGTTTAGTAGTTCTGTAGAGGGATGTTGAAAAGCGGTATTAAAAAGAGGCAGTTAAATGAATGGAAAAAAGTTGCCTCTCAGAAGAATTGCTGAAGCAAGAGCCAGAAGTGCTCATAAACCTCATAGATTTAAAAGGACTTAAAATTATATATTTCTTTGATAATGTATTTCTTTTCTAAGTTTTATATAAGCTGTTCTGCTTGCTCTTTACTCAGATGAGGGGGAATATGCCTCAGAATAAGCATGAGATGGAAGACAATCCACTTTTCTCTGATGACCTAAGTGTCCTTACATTTCTCATAGTGTAGGCTGTACAGCATCATTCCTGAAATTCAAGGCAACTTAGAAGAGCAATTTTCACTTACTAAGCATTTGCTGTGTAGGACTTTCCTAAGGAGTTTTTTTAATGTAATTGACTACAAGTATTGAAAAAGACCCTGATGCTGGGAGGGATTGGGGGCAGGAGGAGAAGGGGATGACAGAGGATGAGATGGCTGGATGGCATCACCGACTCGATGGACAGTTTGAGTAAACTCCGGAAGTTTGTGATGGACAGGCGTGGTGTGCTGTGATTCATGGGGTCGCAAAGGGTCAGACGTGACTGAGTGACTGAACTGAACTGAATTCTTCCCTCAGTTGGTAAAGAATCCACCACCTGCAATGCAGGAGACCCTGATTTGATTCCTGGGCCGGGAAGATTCCCTGGAGAAGGGAAAGGCTACCCACTCCAGTATTCTGGCACAGAGAATTCCATGGACTGTAAAGTCCATAGGGTTGCAGAGTTGGACACAACTGTGTGACTTTCACAAGTAATTTTTATCTTACAGGAGGATTTAATCACTCATTGCTATCCCATAGTTTAATAGTTGGTAAGCTATCAAGTTTATTAATCATTTTCTGATGAAGAACATGGAAGCCTTCATCTTGGAAGGACATGCTGCAGTCCATGGGGTCACAGTCAGACACGACTTAGCGACTGAACAACAAATCATTTTCTGATGGTGAAGTTAATATAGTGCTACCCTTTGTTACTGAAAAAAAGAAAAATCAGATTTTATACTTCTTAAGGGGTTTTTAGAATACTATTGTGCATGCCCTTCATTTTTCAAATGAAGAATTGGGGGCTCCAGCGTGGTTAAGGATTTATCCAAACCCACTAAGCTGATTAGTGGTGTAAACTGACTTTCCATTTTTAAAATTTCTTAATTCTGACACCTAAAAGTAAAATCCTACCAATTCACATTATACCAAAGCCAGATTTGGATTTTTAGTAAAAGTTTTTTTAATTCAAAAGAGCCATGTTCGTAATTCAAAACCACTTAATCTGTAGCACTGAGTACACTTTCTCAAACTGTGTTCCATAAAAAAAGTACTTAGTAAACAAAGCATGGATTTTTAAGAAATTCACCCAGGTAATGCTGCCTACAACATTTCCCTCTCAAGAGTCACAGTGTACATGGCCCTAAAGAGATTTGTGAAATTTCACAGAAAAGTGTTTAATCCCAAATGTCTTTTGGAGAAAGTGTTTTATGGAACATAACAAATTGAAAATATACCTACTGTGTTCATTTTGAGGTAAGGATGTATTTCATTACAGCTCACAAAAATTTGCACATCATTTATTTTTTCATGTACAAAAGGCTTGTGCATCATGACGACTGCCTGGATAAGACACTTTATCCCCTTCTTATCAAGAAGCATTGGCTCTGGACCAGAAAATGTTTTGTTTGTAAAATGTTCACAGCTCGGTAAGTGATTCTTTTTTCCTTGGGAAGTATTGGTTTTCAATAGTGAAGCACTTTTGATCTTTGGTATTTGTTTTTTTGTTTTGAATTGAGGACTTATACTTTGGTATATATATAAAGAGTTTTATCCAGTTAGAAAGCACTACAAATAGTAGTACAAATTAGTTTAAGCTACAGCTGTGTTTTTAAACAATAAGCAATTGAATTTGGTATAACAGAAGTCTAGGGACTAGGTCAGACTTTATAGTTTGGTTGATAGCTTATGCTGGATGATGTCATCAGGGAGCCAGGTTTTCTTTCTGCCTCTTGGCAGCAGTTTCCAAAATGGCTTCATCCACAGCCTCTCCATGATAAAAATAACACTTGGTCTCATTTTTATTTTAATAAGGTCACAATATGGTTTTATACAATTCTGTGGTTTTGCATGTTTAGATTATGTTTAACTATGAATCACTCATAAAACCATCCAGAGGAAAAGGGAAGAATGTAATGTCATTAGTGTGTTTTGGGTTCCCCACCACAACATGCTTTTCTAAATGATCAATAGAAAACACGATAAATCAGTTATCAGATCAAAATGGCAATCAGGGAATGAGATGAGATGCATATTCCATGAGATGCACATTTCAGATTAACTGAAAAATACCATTTTCACTTAATGTGACATTCCTGGTTAAAAAACAAAATCTCAGTTGACTAATAGTTACCCATATTCCATTTGCATACCCTCTGTATTTAACATTTTATCCTAAACTCTAGGTTATGTTTGAAGGCTAAGTGTCCTTCAAGCGATGATACTTTCAAATATGGATTTATATTCTTTTCTACTTACCTTTAAGGAGGAATCTTTCAGAGAAAAGTTGTCCTTTTGCCTTGTAGAATACTGGTAGTGTTATGTTTGTACCTGTATATGTGTATACAGTATTATATAAAGGATCATACTGTATAAATAAGATAGAATAAGGAAATAGTGGGAATGTTACCTATACATATTACTACAGCACATTAAAGCATGAAAACGTTGATTGTAATGATATACATCTTTTTTAACTACAGATGGGTGACGAACAATGACAGTTTTGCACCACAGGACCCATGTTTCTTTTGTGATGTTTGCTTCCGAATGCTCCACTATGATGCAGAAGGCAACAAACTGGGGGAATTCCTCGCTTATCCCTATGTTGATCCTGGAACCTTTAATTAATATCCAAAAGTGTACCCTTGTGAAATAACTTGGTTACTTTACTTCCAAGAAATGCCAACGAGGAACAGGATCCACCAGAAACAAATCGGCTAAAGTTGTCATCCCCACAAAGAAAAGTTCAAATCACAGATCTTCGTAAGCAGTCTGAATGTATTTAAATGTTTGAATTAAATTATTTTAATATTTATTCCAAAGTATAGTTTCTTGCCCATTTTTAAGTGAGTTGTCTATTGAATTGTAGGAGTGCTTTATGTATTCTGAATACAAATCCTTTGTCATACATTAAGTATTCTGGTTTGCTCCCAGTCTGTACTTTGCCTATTTGCTTTGTCCAGAGGGGTTTTTGCTCCTCTACCATTAGCAAAATTCTCCTAATGATACATCAAGTGATAGAAGTGTTTTGAAAATTCTTTGAAGAATATGAGAGCTACACCTTGTACCATGAGGCTTCCAAGGTAAATATCCTTCAAATATCTGTAATAAAAATGGAGAGGTTAAGAATAAAAGTACTTAATAAATACAGTATTCAGAAGAGCTATTGTGTAATTTTACACTGAACTCTTTGTAATGTTAGGTTTTATTTTGGTAAAACCTAGGAACACTAACATTTCAAGACTCACTACATGAATAATGAATGTATAAAGAGCTTGGGTATATACTCATAACTTCATAGAAGTAACACTTAAATTGAAGCGTTATTTCTTGACCAGAACTTTCTGGAATCACAAATGCTATTTAAAATGTATGATGATTTTAATATTTTTATGATTTAAAGAAATAGATTTTATCTAACATAACCACTGAGTGGAGATGGGAAAATCAAGATCCCATGGATTGCTGGCTCTACATCACTACTGTTTGGCAGTAATACCCAGCATTCTATGCAAAAAGAAAACAACTGTTTTTCTAGCCCAGCTCTTCATTCTTCTGGTACCTTTGTTGTGATAATCTAGTTATCCAATTCTCATTTGGGGCCAGAGGACAACGTTGATAATTTTGAGGAAGATCTAGATCCATCAGAGAAAATTGTAGCTACTTACATTATTTTATTGAAATACTCTTGAAATCTTTTTTGGTGTAAAATATTTAATTAATACTTTGCTGGGAAAGTATTAAGCAGAATTAAATTTTTAAACATTTAAAATGTTTAAAAATGTACTTAAATTTCACCTTCTCTCTTCTAGGTTGTATTTATATTCAGCTGAATTCCACTTTCCCTGGATGGCTGAGAACATTTACCACATAAATCAACTGATGAAGCCTGTAAGATGTGTGTTTAAAAAGTTGACAATAAAATGTTTTATGGACTTATATGCCACTTAAATCAGTTTAAGTCAACTGTGGTATGTAGAAGACAGTCACCTGTCACCTGTTTCTAGTGGCTGTAGTCACTGGTTCAATCAGTACACCAGAGAGTCAGCATAAGAAACTAAGAGGTCCCTTCAGGGCTGGCTGGCTGTTATTGCCTAAATGAACATCACTGGAGACATGAAAGTAAACAATTTAAACCAACTGAAAATCCTGCTGGAAAACCTGAGATTTATCTAATTCCTTAAAAGTTCCACAGGTAAAAATGAATTTTTGCTTCCTTTATTTTTAAACTGCATTCTACAAGGGTCTCTTTACTTCTGTTTTCATCATTTCATATTCTCAAAACAGCAAATTCCAGAAAGTGTATTGTCTTAAAGCAGCATTAATGTATGTGTTGACCAATCAACTCATTTTACTGGCAGAGAAATTAGAATGTCAGTTAAAACATTATATTGCTATTAAAATTCCTGTTTTATTATTTATTGAGATTATTACTCTGTGGTTCTTAAAGCTAACATTTCCATCAAAGTTACAAAGGCTTAGATACCTATCTTCATTTCCTAATGAGATCTAGAGGGAAAATAGCCGTATTGTCTTAAAACTTGCCAATGTGCTGCAAATCAGTTATACATGTCTCCCACCTAAGTTCATGTTGAAACTCCTAATTTTGAAGCAGGTATAAGAGATGCCTCAAATCAGGGATTTTGTAGCTGTAAAATTCAGTATTAAACACATAACTGTTAAACTACATATAACCCTTTATCTAATGAAGAGGGCAGATATGAAATGTCATGAACTTACTAATTAATATCCTATGTTAGAAATGAATCAATTTTGATACAGTAGTGGATGGACATGCACAAAATTATTATCCAGAATTCTAGATATTGAATTTTAGGCTCAGTAGCCTTTAAAGATTATTTGACCCTTCTCCTGATCAAACTGCAGTGTTTTTATCATCTCTAAGGTTAGAAAATTACACAGCAGATTATAAATAATTATAAACACATTTCTGCCTAATGTAACTATGGCTTTGTTATTTCCAGTAGATCTGGCCAACTGGACAAAATAAGTTGTGTTAGTGAAGGCTTCAGAGCCTTGTGAAAGCCTTTGTACAGAATTAGATGGCACACCTCATCTTGACCTGACATCTTTAACCAGGTAAGTGTGTGTGGGTATGCGATGATCAATGCATCAGCAAACTGGGTAAAATCTATCATCCTACTATTTGGAAGTCACAGGATATACTAGCAAATATGAGGCTTAAGGTATTCTAGTCAAGCTGTTTACACATACAGAGTGTTCAGCATCTTCAGTCTGGATGATACATCTGAAATTTTTCCAAAGCACCTGAGAAAACATGCAACAATGGATTCTGCTGGGTCACTGCATAACTTACATTTTGTAAACTTATTTTTAAATGTTACCTGGTGGTTTAAAAAAAAAAGCACAAAATAGATACTGCTTATACATTTAAAAAAACATGCTTGGTGGGGGGGCACTAGCGATCTCATTTAAAATATCTCTTCCAGACTTTTTCAGCTATGGAGTTTTGACCAAATACAAATTTAAATTGAACCAGTGCTCCTAAAGATTGGTAACTGTTCATAGGACTTTTCCTTAAAGAGTTCTTGAGAATGGTTTATCTGTCAATCAGCCTATGAAAAAATTTTCTTAGAGACTAAAGAGAAGGCAACTGTGTTTTTAACGCTACATAAATCAACTGCCTAGAGCAAAGTATCAGACATAAAGTTTCAGAATGACACTGTTATCTCCAGAATTTCAATTGTCTAAGGTTTCCTGGTAAAACTATGTAGATCCCTTGGGTCACTAAAGGGCATTTCCTTAATTTTTGTCATTTTGAGCTTACGTTTTAGTAACCTGTGTTCCCAAATAATACAGTTTCTATGACCACGTTATACTCTCTTGGAAGCAAATCCAGAATATGGCAAAGAAGTAATTTACTAGTGAAGTTTGATAGAAAAATTCTTTAATCAAAACAAGTTTACATGTTGACACTTATGGCTTAACTAGAATAAATTTGACCAAGTTTAAATTGTGTAAGGACCAAACAGATTTAATATCCAGAGTTCCCTCAGAACAGTGGGTCCTAGTTCCATTGTAAGGCCTCTCAAAAGCAAAACTCCAATTACTGAAATGATTCCAAATTTTCATCTAAAGATGAAAAAAATTACCCGAGAGGTCAAAGCATACAATGCATGTCACATGCAAACACTGGTATTTAAGCCTTTCCCCCGTATTCCTAGTTTCCAAACATGAGAAGCATATTTTAAGCTACTGCAAACCACCAACTGACCTAGTATTCAAAATATCTTAGAAATGATGTTTGTTAAGGTTGTTCTTAAAATTTTGTGTTAACCTTTGTTCTGATTTAGCCCATATACATGAAAATACAGACAACTCCTTTACTTTTGTCTACTGCCTCAGAGTAACTAACTTTTTGCAATCCTTTCACATGTATGCATTAGAAATAAAAATTCCCTTCTCATATAGTCATGTTTTCAAATAGGTTTGTTTCCTTATATAGTATTTATTTTTATTTACTGCAAAAAGCATTATGGATTGCATTTTTTCCAATTAAAAAAATACTTAATGACTTCTTTAATGAGTGGGACTTTTTAAAAAATTCAGAAACTCGAGACATTTCTCAAAAATAAACTTTTATCATTTAGTTTTCAGTTTCAGCTACTACTGCATGTAAAGGATCTTAAATGGTTGAACCCTAAAAGCCAGATTTATTCCTACATACACTCCTGCTTACTGCAGGAAACTCATGTGACTTTCACTGAATTCTCAGCCACAAAACTAAATTACCTTCAGAAGTTAACATGAGTTTTGCACCTCGTAGAATTGTCAGTTCAATGTCAGTTGGCTATCTAGTTGTCATACAAAAAAGGCATACAGACTGCACATTACTACAAAGCAGCAGAATCATGTAGCACAAGGTAGATTGAGATTAAAGTCAACTTTTGATAAGAGAAAGGAAGGAGTGAGTACTTGTATAGAAGTAACATTTTATCAACCATAAAAATGCTTAACTTCTACAAAACCCACAACAGTGAAAAGACAGTCTGGTAAATCCAATTTTTGTAAAAACTATGCACAAAACCCACAGTATCTGGGAAAAGAGGAAAAGTTTTATACAAGTAGCAGTTTTAAAAATGTAACTTTTTTCTACTATCAATTACACATTAACATACACATACTAACTGAAAATATGCTACAACCAATGTCTGGAAAAGCAGTTGAACATTTCCTAAGTGAACCTCCCCTCACATTTACCATATAATGTAGCTGTTAATACTGCACAAGTACAATTAGCAATGTTTAGTCACTTTTAAACAAAGATAAGGAGATTTCTCCCTCAAAACAAGTTTTAAACATCAAAACCTATGTTTATAAAAATTTAAAACTTTCAGCAATCTAAATATTTCAAATGAAAACCATTACAAACTTCTCAAATGTTCTTTATATTCCAGGTATGTCAACCTAGTTATCTAGTGTAGAATCCTTCAGAGATATTTCAGTCTCTCTCTCTTCACTTGATGGCCTAAAGAAAAAGGGGGAAAAAAAGGTGTGACAACTGGGATTAGGGGGCTTTTGTTCCTCAGGAGAAAAAAAAAAAAAGATACTATATCTGTGCATTATGTTTTTTAAAATGTTAAATTATTTTTTGTTGTAAATTTTATTTTACTATGTTGTGTTTTCTTCCCAAAACAATATGCAGATAAAACAAAATAACTAAAGGGAAGCATCATGGCCCAGGCCGTTTTCAGTCATTTCTAGCTTTAAAATGAGTTCTCTTTAAAGAACATGAAAATGTATCTATGGTACCAACCTATTATAAATCTTCAGAAGAGAAAAGATTCCCCTGATATCAAAATTAGAAAGGATGCTTGGTTCCAAATCCTGGAAATGTACAGTGGACAAATCAAGATTTGGGTAACTATAGTTCCATACCTAGTTATTTTAGCATGGGTATCATAATATAGCCTACGATTCTACATCTAATTTCTGCATTATTCTGTCAAAAGTCAAGAAAGTGTGAACATGAGTCATTAGTACAGGTGTTATCAATGGAACAAGTTCAAGGAATAGTAATTTTTTTCTTAAACAGGATTCCTGCTTAGCTCTATTCCCTTGAATACAATGACACATTAGTTTTAAGTAGTTTCTTTATAGTTTGGCCATTTTGATATGTCTTGAATCCTTAATTCAGGAAGTGAGTCATGAAAATATAATCCCTACACAAACAATCTGGGATCAGCAATGTGATTTAAAAATTAAAACATTACAATGCACTAAAGTATGTCCTCACTTTTTCTTACTGCTGGCCTCGTGGTTGTCTTTGCTTTCTTCATTGCTGTCTCCATTGTGTTGTGGTTGATTACTGTCTTGAGCATCCGATCCTCCATTTAGAGTCTTTGAACCTTTAGAAAGATACCAGTAGGAAAACTGTTAGAGCTTTGAGGACATCTTAAGTACTAGGAAGACCCAAATTCTAGAACTAAACATGGCCCCCAAGTTCCTAACACTGTATTTTATGTAACATTGCATTGTAATCCTTTGGGTAGACACGGCACAGTAAGAAACAGGGTTACTACCTATATCTATTCACAAAAAAATAGACTACTAATCTGATTATTCCAATTGTTACTGTTGTCAGAAAGTTACTAAAGGGTGGTACAATTCTTTAGAGCATCGTGATTTATTCCAGTTGTTAGAGAAAGCAATGTAAATCACAGTAAAATTTTGTATTTAAGAACAGAAGGTGGCAAAATAGTTAACATGATTTTGTCTTCTTTCTTAGAAAATGATGAGGGTTTCCCTGTAAATATTATTTCATTATCAAACCTCCGGTTTGTTATCATTATCACTCCCTAGTAAATGAGTTAAGAAAACCCATCCTTTTGAACACTTTTTCTATGTTAGGGAGCTGCTGCTAACATGTTTAGCACCATGGAATCGGGGAAGCTCCCAATGGTGCAGGCACACTTCAGTTTCTTGTGCTTCATTTTATGGTGCTTCGTAGATCCTGCATTTGTATTTTACAAACTCAGTATTTATGGCAAGCCTGCATCAAGCATGTTTATCAGCACCATTTTCCCAACAGCATTTGCTCACTCTGTTTCTGCGTCACATTTTGGTAATTCTCACAGGATTTCACACTTAGATGTTTATTATATTCATATAGTGATTTGTCTTTGATGTTACTATAACTCATGAAAGGCTCACTTGATATAATATTTTTTTAGCAACATTCTAAAAATAAGGTATGTCATTTCTGTAGCCATAACCCTCCTGCACACTTGAGCCAGACTAACAGACTTTAGTATAGGGTAAGTAAATCTGCATGCCATGTGACTGACTGTATTACAGCAGTCTGACACTGAACCCACAGTATTCCTGGAGTATAAGCATACCTGTATTACACGTTCTGTTTTAAACTTTGCTCATATATACACCTTAAAATGTTTATGACTGAAATAGCACAGGAATCTGCTTCAAAATAATCTTCAGGAGTGTCAGTGAAAAACTTGGAGGTATAATAAAAGACCAGTGATCATGTGTTAGCTGCTGAAGCTGACACAGGAAGTTCATTCCTCGTGACTTTTGTGTAGGTTAGCAATTTTCCCTAATTTAAATGAAAACAATAGTAACCACTACTACTAGTAAATACTACTTGATAAAAACTTAAGAATGAAAAAAAAACCCAGAAGCTTAGATTGAGCAGACTCTGCTAAGTTCTTTTGGGACTCCCATCAACTACTGTAGGTTAAGGCATTAATAAGATTAAATATCAAAGCCATTTTTAAAAAGTAATTCCAACAAATTATTACCACATACCTGTTTGTTCCTTTTCTAGCTTTTTGTTTGGCCCTTTCTTCCCTTGATCTTTGGTTTTATTTGCTTCCTCATGCTGTCTTTGTTCGGCAAGAGATTTGTTCAGCACTTGTGTGATCACAGAATCTCCTTCACCAACCAAAAACATGTTCTTAAACTTGTTATACAACATTGTAGACTTTTCCATGATAACCTGACTAACTTTGAATCGCCGTATCTGGGAAAACAAAAGATAAGCTCAGAATTTTCCTAATTGGTTTCTGACTGTTACTTAATGAAGTGGTGATAATGAGGAAATTTTTAAAATCTGCATAACTAAAGATCACTTACTTTTTTCAGTGTTGTAATCATCTCTGTGTGTTTTTGAGCTTGTTGCATTGTGACCTGAAGTGAAGCCAGTTCATCCAAGGCCTCAATACATCTGTTGACATCCTTCATGACAAAACAGTAATTTCATAACTGTTAATTACCACAACTCATAGAATCCAAAGATTCAAAATCTCAAATAACAAGGCATACAAAATAGCCAGTAACATTCTTTTATCTCAGATTTACACATACTTATCAAACCATGTTAGAAAAAAACATGAAGCTACAAAAGCACTGTATTTTTAAATGAGGTATTAAACACTTACAAGATTATCAATTTTGAGTGAATTTTTAATTTCAGCATGTATCCTTTGAAGTCGAGAATCCATTGATGTTTCTATAAATTAAAATGTGAAACACAGTAAATAGGTTTTCCAAAACCAGTGTTTTTGTATAATCTAAACAAAGTATAATGGAAAGAAGTGGTAATTTTTAAAAAATGTTCTTAGTAATCTGCTTACATCATTAAGAAATTATCTGCCATTTTTAGTCTTTAGTTTAGGAAACCAACATTCATCATATAAGCAAAGAATCACTGACTAACTGCATGTCTCTAAAATAAGTGGTCTTCATCCACTAACTCCTTCTCAATCCTTTAGCACCTGCCTTTTATTTAACCAAAACTAAAATATCCATCTGAAACCAAATTTGTCAGAAATGGGGAAACATCTTGCTTTAGGTAGTGTTAAAATAAAATAAATCTGACTTCATCATATAAGGAGCAGTAAAATAAAAAACATGACCACCTCTGCAAGTTCACCTGATAATACTTAAAAAGTGCAAAGCAGAACAGAATCCACTAGGGATTTAAAATGTGTATTTGTACAATAAGAATATCAGATGACTGATTCCAAAATGTATACAATTAAGTGTCTGTAAAACTGCCTTTCTGTGTGTAACATACATCTTAGAAAGTGAAATAACTAACCTCGCTTCTTCTCCACTTTCTTAACTTCTGGCTTCTTTCCTTCATCTTTATTCTGCCTATCAAATGTTAACACAAATATTTCAAAAACATTGGAACTCTGTGACTGATTACCAAATGCCCACAATCCCTTTTGTAAAAGTTTTCTTCTTTAAAATAGTTAAGTGACCTAGATCACAAGGAATTGACTATAATTTTTAGACCTTTGCAATGCCACATTAGTATTAATTAGTATAAACAAAAATTAACATACTAAAATAATCTAACAATCTAATTTTTCAGTGGCATTACAGATTTTAATAGCTGCTTTTGTGCAATTTTATTCCAACAGTAGTGTGTTAAAAGACTAACTGCAGGGTCAATGGATAAATAGGCCATAGTGGGAAGAGAATGCCTGTGTTTCATGAATTCTAAAATAGCATGTCAAATTAGACTGATTTAATTTTTCCCACATCTCCAAAAGGTAGGTAATTTGAGGGGTTCAAAGTTAGTTACAAGATTAAACAGACTATGTTACAATAAAGTGGGATTTATTTTGCCACTATATGAAACTTAAATGATATTCACTAGTGTTTACATACCATTTCACAAATGAAAAGGTACCATTTTATTGTAAATCACAAAAATAACCATTTAAAAATGAATTCTTAATAATTTCTAGTACCTTAAGAGTTCGGGCCCTACTATAATAAACCAATTGAAATAGACAAGAACAAAAAATATCTAAAAATCAGGTTTTTTTTTTAAAAAAAACTTTATTTTAAAATTTTGGTTACAGTTTCATTTTTGTTTTCTTAACAAGTCTACTGTTTAATCTCTCAGGATTAAAAAAACAATTATTAATATTCTAAAGAATTAAACAACAAAGGTATGTCAAGGGGAGGGCACAACTGCCCCATTCTCTAGGGGTATAATATATAGCTACTCCAGTTTAACACCTAGCTTCAAAACAAAATGAATTTTTATATTTTCTAAATGAAATAATGTACAACCACCATCTTCATCTGAGCTTGTAACTTTCAAACACAAAGCTTCATTTTAAGCTTGGTAAAAAACAGGAATGATGGCCGACCTTAGTATGTAGTGTGTACCTTACAGGAAATGTTTTTTTAACAATCATAACACAGTAATATAATGCCATTAATGAAGTCCTCAATTTAGAATCTGGAACATTCTTCCATCAAAGGGGGGGAGGGGGAAATTCAGTCCAATGAGTCTGTCTCAAGATCTTCATCTCTTGTTTGCTCCACTTGTATTCTCTTTTCAGTAACTGGATTAATGCTTTGAGCCCAAAATGAGATATATTTTTTATTACTGTAGATTACATGTTGTTTGGCTGGGAATACAATACAATAAACTTTATTTTTGCATAATGCATTTCATACAAGCTGCATCTGAAATGCTTTACAGAGCAAAACTGTCCAAGTACAAAGTTTTGTAATAACAGAAGAAGGAAAGAAAACACAAATATTAGAATTTGAGAAAGTTACATTCGGAGGACATTCAAAAAGAAATTGAAACACATAAAGATTAACTTGAGATACTAAAGGGTTGGGCTAGATTTACTAAGCAACAACTAATTTTATATCTTAATTTGGGGAGCACAATAAAGTTAAAAGCAACAAACAGTCCAACAACTTTTCAGTGAAAGGACAGGAAAGGATAGGTAACAAAAAAATAACTAATATTTACATAAATGGTCCAAATCTAACAGATTAAAGGGAGTAACATTTCTGAGCTTTAAATCAATTTTTAAATTACTCCCTCTTATAGCTAAAACTGCTTATATATCCTCCAAAAAACTAAGGAGATGGTCAAATGCTATACTTAACAAGACTTTCAGCTTACAGATTTATTATATAAAGAAAAGGTACAAAATTATTTAAGAATAGTTTTTTTTTAAGAATTTCACTGCTTAAGTTTGTCTTAGTGACCTACAGCATGTTTTTAAAATCACCTCCTCACTAAAACAACAAAAAAACAGTTTAGTCAGAATAATGCAAGACGTTTCACAAAGAAAGAAACGTTTTTCAGAGAAAGACCTCAGAAGAGACAGTCTAAAGATAACTAAGAAAACAAATGTAATAAACACATGAAGCCTAATCATCATTGTCATTGCTATTTTCCTTATAAAATTATTTTATAGAATAAACTTAAAAGGGGGAAGAAATTCCCCATGGTAAGTATATATTATCTCCAAGTATCAAAACTTATTATCTTGATTTATATTGCACACATCTAATGCAAACCCTGTCAGCCTTTTAAATTTACTTGTACTGGCTTCATGGGTTTCCAACTGTGCTTTTGGTATTTTTGCTGGTCTTCTGGGGGAAGCCTGCTGGTGGTATGACAAAGATAAATATTTCTTTCTTTCATTGTCCACTAATTTATCATCTTTCTGTATTTAATATTATACAAGAAAATATCAGAGGATGAGGACATTTTCTACAAAGCCTTGAAGCAGTTAAACCCTATCTGCACTTTCCGTTTAAATTCAAAATAATTCATAGGGTGATTATCTCAGTGAATTTCATTCTCTTTACTCAGAAAAGAATGAGCCTGAAATATGATTATCATATACTGAAGACATTTTTCTAACACATGGGCAAAGTCACTTCTTTAGAAGGCTTCAGAAAGTCTTGAAAATGAGATTCTATTTTGTAAAGTTTTCATGCTGGCTTAAAAAAGAAATTGAAATTTAGAATAAGAAAATACTTACTGCTCAGTTTCCATTTGTTCTTCTTGCTTGCGTTTTCTATCTGCAGCTTCTTTCTCATGTTGTCCTTTGAGCATATTCCTTCTATGAGCAGTCTGAAAGTTTCTTCCACCTTTTCTCTTCTGTTGTATTTGAGAATTAGGATGGTTTTAGTTAACTATTAAGTCAGTGACTAATGCAGAAATTCTATGGTTACAATTGTGGGAGAAAAGCAGCAACTAGTTTTCTTAAGGGACAAATACTTAAATTACTAATTTTAAAAAATCTGAGAATTACACGTTGTTGCTATCTAAATTTAACTTTCCCCTTGATGAATTTGGGATTCATAATCTATTTACTGCATTGCTATAGGAATGACATGCTTTGGTTAATACGGATTAAAATGAAGTACATTAGGCTGTTTGCCTCTACACTGACTTCAGTACCTGTTTACTGGTAAGTGCCTGCCCAACCTATGGAATTTTAGGTCCGGGGCTTCTGAGGGTATTAATAAGTTAGATAAACATAAATTAAAGACCTACACAACCTGGGTCTGTAGATTTCCAAGGCTATACACAAAACTTTTGTTGCATCTAAATAAAGTACCACTAATAAAATGTACACTAAGTAGGTATGAAGTGCTCATTGAGGTCAATAATATAAATCTATGTACAAATTTACCTTTATACATCTGTTGTCACTGGTCACAACTTACTTGGCTTAATTCTTTACTTTCCTACCTTTTCTAGGTAGATGGGGTTATTGGAAGTTTATCATGCAACATTTAACTCCCATTTAATTATGAAAAGGTAAGACAAACTTAACGATGTACAATAAGGCTTCAAATTTGCTTTTTAACACAGCTAACTGAAGTTTATTCAGAAAGGTAAAGAAATTCATTTTAACTTTTAATCATATTTATAGACTTTCTTAAAGATACTGAAATCTTGATCTAAAGAACTACATAAGAAACTAAAAATAAAACAAAGGTTTTATTTGATATGCAAACATTCTACCTTTTCACCTTCTTGATCATCTCCTTCTTCTTCAGAATCAGAGGTTGATGTAACCCCTGTTTTGGCTAAATTTTTCCTTTTTGATTCAACTTCCTTTTTCCCCTCTTTTTTATCTGGCTCTTTTCTTGGCTTTTCTTCTTCCTTCTGGCCCTCTTCATCCTTTTTAAGCTGTTTTTTAGGTTGTTTTTCTTCTTGCCCCTTTTTCTTGCTTTTGTCTTCTTCAGTTATCCTATTTTACAGGTAAAACAATGAAAAAAATAATGAAAAATAAACTATGTATCTATAGATCTTATCATTCAACCACAATCTCCAAGTTAATAGCTATTTTGGATAACAATAAGCTATAGTTTTTTATTTAAAAACAAATTTTAAATATCTTCAAGGAAGGGTCATTATCAGCCTATCACACACAAAAAAGAACATCCTTTCAATATAAGTTAGAAGGTAGAAAAATTACAGTGGCATTAGGGTAACAGAAGAGTGATTTTTTCCGCCCATTTTCTAAGTTCTTTGTAACTCATTCACTTTAAAATAATACTGGGTACCATCTTAGATGCCATGGTACTATTCTTGACTCTGGGGAACAGCACTGTAATGAGGTGTGTGAGATCCCTAGATTTTAGCCACACTGGCAAAAATACAATTGCAGAATCAAACTAGTTATGGTGAAATAGTCATTTTAAAATTTGAAGAAATATTCCTTGCAATTTAAAAGGCTCAATTCATGCATATAATGGTTAGATATATGGCCAATTAATATTACACAGTGTTCAAGGAATTTTATTGAGAATTTCACATGTTATTTAAAAGCTGCAAGGAACCCCAGATCATTTAGTCCAACCCATTCCATTTAACAGATGAGAAAATGATGGTGCAAAAAGGTCAGTTAGCCCAATATCTCAATTCCAAATCAACTGACTTTCCAGACAACTGCTTCCTTGAACCCTTGAGATTATTAACTTGCCAAAGGAAAAAAAACAATCACATTTATTTAGAAATTTTTGGTCACGTAACTGTCATTGGCTATGTTTATTTTCAAATGTTATATGGGTTTCACCCTTTAATCAATGGAAGATAAAGCAGGCAAGCAAAATCACTTAACTTTAGTATCTCCATAAATTATTTTGATAATGATCATTTCGTGGAGACGCAGAATACAGGATCAAATATAAACGGCATTTTCATGGCTCTTAAAAGTCACTGACCAATTGCCTCCCCCAAAATGTTACCCCCTGTGCAAAGAGGCAGATATTAAAAATAAAATATCCTTTTAAAACCCCACAGATCTGCTTCTAGCAACGTATTCTAAACAAGAAAAATGCATACATAACAAGGAATAAACTTTTTAAGAACTATGACACACACACTGGAGAAACGTGACTACTTTTCTTTTTTAAAAGTAGACTTAAAACGTGTATCATATGCTCTTAAGAAATGGATTATTTCGAAGTTTTAAAAACAGTATTAAAGCAGAGAATTCCCATAAACGTAACTACAATTAAGCCTTTTGACCATAGTTCCCTCCTTACCATCCTCCATGAAAAACAGACCTCTTGGGGATAAGTTCTCTATTAACAGGTCAAGGTATGGGAGGAAAACTATACTAAAGGAAATTATAAATACAGTTTAATAAAAAAACAACCCCAAATATCTCAATGGCTTGTAACAGATCTTTACATGAGGATTAGGAGATGGTTTCAGCTTCTCTGGACTCCATTCTATCGTCTTAACATTTCAGGACCCACTGCAAAGAAGCTGTCACCACGAGAGATACCCACTGTTCTTATGGTGGACAGCTTACAATTTAGAAGGGTTTATATAGTTTTGCTCTGCACTCCACTGAGTTTTTGTCGAGATACAGAGCTAAGAGTAGCTGTAACAGCCAATGCCTAGCCTATATACAGCACAAATGAGAAATAAATACTGTAACCTACTGGAGCTGTCCATCATGGAAACCTAGAACGTGTGACACTTGCTTTGCATTTGAAACCCTACCATACAACACACAAAACTATCATCTGTGACAAGTGGAAAGAAAATTTATTCAGTGAATTTGTGGCTTTGGGGGAAGAGGTTTCAAGACAAAATACTGGCATCTTCAGTTGATTGTTATCAACATAAATTTGATCAGGAACTTCAAGAAAAAGTAAATTCAAAAAATAATAGGACAGCAAAGGAAGGAGAAAAAAATAACCATGCATCTCAGTTTTTGAAAGTCGTTTCCAGCCTAAAAAAGATTTTTAAATTCAGACTTGCCAGCCTTTCCTTAAGAATTCAAAGTGAGATACCTTGATCCTTCTGATAAGCAAATGACTGTAGGAAAAAGAAACCAGGAAGTGGGTTTTCAAGAAAACATATAAACTCAAAGTACTTTTACTTAAGTGTAAAAAGATAAGCATGTCTGGTGAAGTCTTATGAGTTAGACCACTGCACATGAAGCTGACTAGAATGAAATGGACACACACACTAACAATATTGTTATACTACCAAAAGTGACACCAATCTGCATTAAGGGAAAGTAATGGAGATTTAAAAAGGAATCTTGGGTCAAACTCCCTAAAGCATGAAAGGAGACTAAGAAAGCTACTCAGCTAGTAAGGAGGGTAGCACTTTCCAGTGCAACTATGGATACTGAAAAAGATCAACTAAGGATGATACTGAGAAAGTAGAGAACTCTCCGAAGAATGGGCCAAAAGTCAAGGAGAGATGGACTAGGAAGATACTGTCAGGAAAAAGTGGGATGGACCTAATCAAGCAAATATCCTTATATATAAAATGAGGATCTCACAATATTTTCCCAACAGAATTTCTTATTTCCTAGGGAGCAATGACTGCTATATGCCTCATAATCTTGTCCTTGGGATTATTTATGTTCCCTATTCCAGATCAATGTGCATATATAAAGGGGAGAAGGGAGCAGATGACCTGTGTTTTAGTTCCTATGTCTCTACATCAAGGCCTTAAGTTGATCATGAAATCCTAGACTTGATGCCTTGATTAGAGAAGACATCTTACAGAGGGGATCAGGGAGATTCATTTGAAATGTTTAACAACAAACTCACCTGCATGTACTTAATATTTTAATTTCACTATAGTAATTAAAACCATGTTGTAATTTTTTGCCACTATTTTTAAGAATATTTAAACAGCTGCCTTGGCAATAAAATAAAACTCTTTCAACATGTATTGGTTAAAAAGTACCAACAATCTTAAATTGTTCTGTAACTGAAATTTCCAATAAACTGTTTTCATTCAAAACATTGTAAATCCATTCTTAAATGACATACCTGAGCCTTTTCCTATAAAATCTTCAAAGACAATAGCTACAAAGTTTTGCCTTATTTGTCTAGACATACATTCCTATTGGTGAAGTTTCTACCCAGAAAGCTGACACAAATAAGATCCACATAGAAAAGAAAGGTGGCAAAGAAGAACAGAAAATACTGACTGTTGCTAACTAAAAGCAGTTATCATTCCAAAAGACTTTAAAATTTTACATTTACAAAAATAATTTTAAGTGTTATTTTGAAATAAAGGCTATTCTAGAAGAGCAATATTTGTGGAAATTGTTTCAAAAATACTTTGTCTGGGGGGTGGGGTAAAAAACACTTTGTCTAAAAATTTCTTTTTTTTTAAATTTTTTAAAAAAATTTCTTTAAACAAAGAGAACTATTATAAATTTTATCCTGCATTATCTGAGTATCTTACATCCTGCTATATAAGAAAATGTCTTAGATTAATGAAATGATATCAGATTTTTCTTGATTCCCTATCAACCTTAACTTTTTTATATAATAAAACTATGTTTTAAAGAATTTCTCTCGTAATTCTAAGAAATACAAAACAGAATGCAAATAAGTTCATACATACTTAAAGTGAAATGTCTCATTTATTGCATCACTGATTATAATACTCACATGTCACTCTCTGAAGGACAAGGCTGTTTTACCATTTTGGGTCTGCCTCTTGGTTTTGGAATCTTGACCTCTGTAGCTAACATTCACAGGAAAAAAATTTTTATAACTACAAAGTTATAAATATACATACTAAGAATATTAATTAGTAGTTATTACAGATATAATTACTTTGGGATTTTCTTTTTACTTTAGGTTTTAAAAATCATCCTCATTCAAATGAGTAACAACAAACAATTTAGGGAAGTAAATCAAGGTTATTCAATTTACCCTTAGTATGGCTGAAGACTTAAAAGAACATCCTTCACTGTTGTTTTAACATGAATGTCACAAAATCCAACTTTATAGTAGGTAATAGTCCTTATATTCAACATTCATATACATACCACAATATCATTTGTAAATCTATATTCATGACTTTGAAAATTCTTTATCAGAATTCACTAGATTTTCTAACAATACCATTAATTTGATCCATTACAATATTAAAATCCAAAGAAAAAGGTAAACAAATTTGGGGGGTATTACTCAGTTTAAATCTGTTTCATTAAGAATCCTATATTATGAAGTAGGAAAAAAATTTGTCTCTATCCTGGCTAACTTTCTTTGTTTTACTTTGTATTAGAGACAGATCCTTCCAAACTATTTCCTATTTGTCAAATTAGGAAAATATTTTAAATAGGCCGAATACATCTGCATATTGTATAGGTCCTAATAAAGAATGCAAAAATTTAAAAATTAGTAACTTTGATAACTCAAATATTGTTTTCTCTTGCTTTAATTACAATTCCATTTGGAAAGCTTAAGTTTTCTAAAGTTAACAGGTAAAATAAACCCATTAGTCATGGAATATATATCTCACCACAGCCTCATTTGCTGCTTTTAACAGAAAATGGGGATAAACAGAAAATGAAAAGGTCTCAAGCAATTATTTCAAATTTAAATACCTTATCAGAGAGCAGAAACCTTAATGTTTATCTTCTTTAAAATGTATATGTTACACATAACCAAATGTCTATTCACCTATTCCAAAGTAGCTAAGGTACAGCACTTAAATGGATTAGAATACTGATCACAAGCCAGATATTTAAACATTAACAATCCTACCTGCAGGTCGTCCTCTTTTAGGACTCACTTTTAGATTAGCAGATGCTGTTGCTGTAGTCACTACTCCAGCCTCCTCAGTTTCTACTTGTTTTTCTGCCTGAATAACAAAGATTTAAATTATTTAGCATGGTAGGCGTTCTAAGTTTGTTAGTTTAATGGCAAAAACATGCACTGTAAGATAAGTTCAAATATAAGCATAACTTAGGGGAAAAAAATGCATTTATTTGGCCGTGCTACATATTAGTTGTGGCATGTGGAATCTAGTTCCCTGGTCAGGGGTTGAACCTGGGCCCCCTGCACTGTATGTAGCGCAGTTTTAGCCACTGGACCACCACCAGGGAAGTCTCTATGTCTGCACGATTTTCACTTTCCAACAGCTGACTCAGTGATATCCTCAAACGTAGCTATGATTCTAGGCAACAAACAATAAAACTTCATTTTAGATCTTCTCAATCTAAAAAGAGTCATTTGCAAAAATAAGTTGAATATTCTTGATGCAAAGTGTTGAATAAAGTATAATTACACTGAATAGCCCACACATTGCTTATAAATGTACTTTCATTAAATATCTCAAAATGCTAACACTTTACACTGTGTACTTATGATAGACAACCTAAATTAATGTTAAAAAAGGCAATAAAATAAGTTGCTGATATTTCCATTTTTAACTTTGTTAATATACACATTTTATTTTTGAAATGAGACAGATCTGCTGTTCTTCCCTAGAAGTTATTATATTCCATGAAGAAGGACTTACTGTAAAGAAATCCCAACAAACCTTTGCAAACTATAATGCCCTAAAGGTAATGAGACAACAGCCCCAAATGAGAATCCATTTAATCAAGTCAAGCATTAGATTCAAGCATTAGAGCAGAATCAAGGTTAATAACCACAATTAGGAAGGAAACGCAAGCATAACATCATAATGGAAAAGAGAAAAGAAACAGTGAAGAGATCAAAAAGATCAATGAGGATTACTATGAGCTGCTTCCTCACCTTCAACTACTTAGAATTCAGCCCCTAACAAAATAAAGGCAATAAAGCATCACTTGCAAAAACTTGCATAATCCAATCTTACTGATAAAAAGTCTTAATCTTTTAATCAACAATCTGATTTGCAAACACTTGAGATAATGACAAATACTGGTAAGGATATGGAGAAGTATTCATATGTTGATTAACAGTGATCAAATCAATAAACTGGCAAAACATTACTGATCATTATGAATATCAACAATACAGAATATGCAAATCTGACTCAGGAATCCCACTTAAGAATTTATCCAGTTTTTCATTATAAATAGTTTAATTTTAAGAACTTAAGAGACCATCTCTGCCCCACTCCTAATTTGATAGCTCTGGAGTAAGAAGCCGGGCATCTGTTTTTATAACAAAGGTTGAGAACCCAAGACTGTATGAAAGCTCCTATTAAGGAGTTAGGAGGGTGAGGGGTTAGGAGGGCCAAAGTTCTCCAAAATTCAGTTCAAACTGAAAAGCTTTTTCAGTGCCAGAAGAAAAACCTCTCTTCAATTACACTTTCAACTTTTGGAAATAACTCATGACACTGCATTAAGAAGTAGAGGTATGAATCTTTTTGAGGAGATACCACTTAGAGATAGCAAGTTCATCTATAATACCACAAATAAACACTTTAATAAGCAAAAGTACAGCCCCTCCACAGACTATATTCTTGACTATTACAGCAAAATCATTTAAGTCAAAACCACTCCTCATGAAAATATTAATAAACTCAAAGAATAAGAAATATTTTATCTAGAGAAAGGACTATTATTTCAAACATATATCTAAATATCTTAAATGCAAATATTCTGACTAGATTAATTTCTTCCACGTTTTATCTCACTGGGACCTCTACTGTTCCTAAGTGGAGTCTGAGTCTGCGACCCCATGGACTGCAGCACACCAGGCTCCTCTGTCCTCCACTATCTCCTATAGTTTACTCAAATTCATGGCCATTGAGTTGGCGATACTATCTAACCATCCCATTCTCTGCCGCCCCCTTCTCCTTTTTGTCTTCCATCCTTCCCAGCATCCAGGTTTTTTCAAATGAGATCTCATGAAATTAAAAGACACTTACTCCTTGGAAGGAAAGTTATGTCCAACCTAGACAGCTTATTAAAGAGCAGAGACATTACTTTGCCAACAAAGGTCTGTCTAGTCAAGGTTATGGTTTTTCCAGTGGTCATGTATGGATGTGAGAGTTGGACTGTGAAGAAAGCTGAGCGCCGAAGAATTGATGCTTTTGAACTGTGGTGTTGGAGAAGACTCTTGAGAGTCCCTTGGACTGCAAGGAGATCCAACCAGTCCATCCTAAAGGAGATCAGTCCTAGGTATTCACTGGAAGGACTGATGTTGAAGCTGAAACTCCAATACTTTGGCCACCTGATGCGAAGAGCTGACTCATTGGAAAAGACCCTGATGCTGGGAAAGATTGAGGGCAGGAGGAGAAGGGGACAACAGAGGATGAGATGGTTGGATGGCATCACCGACTCAATGGACATGGGTTTGGGTGGACTCCGGGAGTTGGTGATGAACAGGGAGGTCTGGCGTGCTGCAGTTCATGGGGTCGCAAAGAATCGGACACAAGTGACTGACTGAACTGGACTGAACTGAATCCTTTTAACAAATTTTCTCCCCATTTATTACCCCATTTGCTAGCTCTACTCCATGACTTTACATAAAGGCCTCCCAACCCTACAAAAATCTCATGGGACTGTTATTCATCTGCATTCTTGTTTTGCTGCACCTGTCCCACAAATCTCCAACAGAGGATTACCAAAAAACACTACCTTCCTTGTTTTGTTATTCCCTACTGATCTGAGCCCTGCCTGGGGGGGGGGGGGGGGGGGGGCGGGGGGATCTACAAACATGCATTCATCTTATGCAGCTTCATTTGTGGTCAAAGTTATCCATTAATCCTTTACCCTATCTTTTGTCATTCCCTTTCCTTCTCCTCCCCCTAGCATAAACTTTCAATCCTTTCTTCTTGCCTTATACCATATATGCAGTCTTGCTTTGAATTCAGTGAGGGAGAAGGGAGAGACTGAGGCCAGCAGGAAGGGATTCCCTTAATTTCCAAGTCTCCCTAGAAACTTTTAATAGTCCATTCCCTTCAATGTTAAAAAAAGATGAAAAATGTCTCTTTCCCATTAAGTCAGTTTCTTTAAATGTGTTCTCCCTTTTCTCTCACTCAGCATTATTCTTAACTTTCAATAATTTAAACTCTTTCAATATCTTTGCTATTTCCTGCTTTCACAAAGAAAAAGTGTTAAAGCCTCTATTATATTTTTTTTACTTTAACACCCTCCCTTAACCATGGCAAATCCTTGCTGCATTCTCTCTCTTCACTTCAAAGATTTCAAAACCACAGTGTAATTTTAACATTAAACATTTTATTCTTTAGTCTACTTCACCTGTTCTTACCATCTGACCTTAAATTATCCTGGCAGATCCTAACTGTCAAACCTTACTGGACCCCCTCTGCATCAGGACACTACTAACCACTCCCTCATTCTTAGAATTCTCTCCTTCCTTGTTTATCTTGATAGCTTCTCTTAGATTTTCTCCTGACAGTTCATTCTCCACCACAATTTTACAAGGCAACCTTTCATGGCTACTATATATTACCCCCAGGATTCTGGTTTCTGTGTGGTTCTTGGTAAACTTTCCCCCTTGACTAACAATCTAATAACCTGTATTTATATGATACCACATCTGTAACTCCTACCTTTACCCCTTTTGGTGTCAGAAAAATACATATTTTCAGTCTAATTCTCAAAGGTGTTTCACCTCTTCAGTGTCTACTCCCAAGACATCTTCCGCATCTCAGTATATACCCAGTCATCCAAGCCAGCTTCCCAAGTCATCCTGGCTTCCTCCTTCTCCCTTCACACCCACTTTCAGTCAGCTGTTAACGTTACCCCATACAGGGCTCTTAGCATCCCATCTTTCACCTACACTGCTAAAAATGTTAGGCTAACTCTTTAGAAAGGGTTTCATAATTTAGTTACCAAGTCACAATCGTAATTCCCCATTTTAATTGTCTTATGTATTTACTGTCTGTCTCAACAAAAATGTAATTCAGCAAGAACAAAGACATTCTCTTCCTTATTCACTAATGATTTTCTGCCTGGGCCAGTGGAGTACCAAAATTCTGAATCAATTTATCAGGAAAATAGTCTCACTCTGCTTCAACTCAATTCCCATCATTTACACCGCTTTAAAAGGAGAAGTATCTGAAATTAAAAATGATTCAATGGCTATCCACCAGTTCTCTAAGTTGAAGTTCTTCAGGATAACACATTGGTGTTTTTCATACTTGTTTCCCTCAAACATTATGGTCTGATAATACTGAAATGCGTACTAGAAATGCTTGAAGCAAAGTTTTCTCTTATGCCTCTGTCCTCCTCTACTCCTCCATCTGCCTGTCAAAATTCTGCCTAATTAAAATCTTGTTTTGTAAAGTAATTAGCCTCCAACTAATAAAAATAAATGAAAAAAAAAAAGTTATCATAGCCCCTTCATACACACATCCCCCACAGGGGATAAAAAGTCACTGGAAGTAAAATACGAAAACAAATAATTACAGTGGCTTTAATTAAAGACGCTGAACTCACACTACAGTACTACAAGAGAAAAAAAACAATCCTTTTTAAAAGACTGAACCCTTGGAGTTCCCTGGTAGTGAAGCAGTTGAGAATTGTGAGAATCTGTGCTTCCACTGCAGGGGGCATGAGTTCAATCCCAGGTGAGGGAACTAAAATCCCATGTGCTGCATACTAAGATCCCATGTGCTGTGTGGCTTGGCCAAAACAATAAACTAATATCATAATTTGCCATTAAAAAAAAACAAACTGAATACAAGTTTTCTTTGTAGCTTTGTCATACAGTAATAGTTTTTCTGACCTATTCATAAGTAGGTGTGATGAACAAAACTTCACATAGGAAAGAAGAAAACATTAATTAAAATCCTAAGATGTACTTCATCCCAAACTGTCACGTCCTCTCATTTCATGCAACAATGTTGTAAAGTAGTAACAACAGCATAATAGTGGACATTTATAAAGCACTTACCATGTATAAGGATTTATTATAGATATTTTGTCTTAACTGATTTAATCCTTTCAATAACCTTATAAGTATATATATTGTCCATTTTATAGAGAAAACTTAAGGCAGCAACATAAAAAGGAATGAAAATTAGTGCATTTTGTTTACCATTCAACTTAAGGAGGGAGAAGGAAATGGCAGCCCACTCCAGTGTTCTTGCCTGGAGAATCCCAGGGACGGAGGAGCCTGGAGGGCTGCTGTCCATAGGGTCGCACAGAGTCGGACACGACTGAAATGAGTTAGCATGCATGCATGCACTGGAGAAGGAAATGGCAGCCCACTCCAGTGTTCTTGCCTGGAGAATCCCAGGGACAGAGGAGCCTGGAGGGCTGCTGTCCATAGGGTTGCACAGAGTCAGACACGACTGAAATGACTTAGCATGCATGCATGCACTGGAGAAGGAAACGGCAGCCCACTCCAGTGTTCTTGCCTGGAGAATCCCAGGGACGGAGGAGCCTGGAGGGCTGCTGTCCATAGGGTCGCACAGAGTCGGACACGACTGAAATGACTTAGCATGCATGCATGCACTGGAGAAGGAAACGGCAGCCCACTCCAGTGTTCTTGCCTGGAGAATCCCAGGGACAGAGGAGCCTGGTGGGCTGCCGTCTATAGGGTCAGAGTCGAACACGACTAAAGCGACTTAGCAGCAGCAGCAACAACTTAAGGATGTTGTATCACTAAGAAAGTAACAGTTTTGATATGTAACCTATCCTTTACAATAAAGACTTAACAGTGAAACACTAGGTTTGAACAGTACAGTTTTTTCACCGTCTATATCTCCTCAATCCAGCTAAAATAAAAACTCTTCTAAGATCTCTGTGGTTAAGTGGAATTACCTTTCTCTTCCTCCCTCTTCTGGCAGCTTTTGGAGTGGTTATGTCAATTGCTTTAGTCACATCCTATAAAAAGAAAAAAAGATGAAACTGATCAATTATGCCACAACTGAAAGAAAGTTTCTTAAATTAAAAATCACAAACATGTTTCACTGAAAGAAATAGGGGACTTGCTTGAAATTATAAACTTTGAAAGTCTTAATATTATCATTACAAAACAAGAGGAATTACTGGTATCTCTGTCCAAAAAAAAGAAATTTGTCAGATCAAATATTAAAGTCACACTTGCCAGTACACTGGGAGGTTTGTCTATTTAAATTTACAAAACACGAATCTTTCTACAGCAGAATGTTCAGTTTTAGGCCTGTTAACGTTAAGAGGTGGTCAGGACTTGATCGTATAACAATTTTATGATGCCTAGAAGGGCTGAGTAAGTATTCCCATTCAGATAATCAAATACAGAGCTGGAAATAAATGTAGGTTTATAAAAATTTGGTTCAATGTCCTTTCCCATACATCCATCCAGCTAGAGAAATTAAACACCTCACTTTAAAACTATTCCTAATAAACAGTAAGCCAGTCTTTTAGCTATAGCTCATATTTTGCACAGCAAAATAACTTTACAACATCCAAGGACCTCCCTGGTAGTCCAGTAGCTAAGACTCCACACTCCCAATACAGGGGGCCTGGGATGGATCCCTGATCAGGAAACTAGATTCCATGTGCTGCAACTAAAGATTCCTTTCCCAGGCTGCAACTAAAACCTGGAGCAGCCAGAAAGTATAAAGATGAAAAAAATACTTTATAACATTATATTTAATATTCACACAAGAAAATAAGTCTTCAATATTTTCCCTATTCATTACTTGACTACTTTGAAGATTACTTTCTACTTTGCCACAATCAACTCATTTTACAGTTCTTCCTTGCAACAAGATGGATTCAGAATGCAAGAGAAATTAAGCACACCTCATTGCTGGCTTTTTCTTCATGGTCGGTATCTTCCTTTGAAACACTTGTTTCTTTTTCTTCAACTTCAACATCAGATGACGCATTTGACTGTTTAGCTGATGCCTATGAACAATCAAATCTATTAGTTTCACAAAATAATTTTATCTGAACTTTAAAATTTGTGCCCATAAAAAATCAAAGCCTGTTTGTAAGAAAGCTAGGAAAGTACTCTTATTTCTGTTGCACAGGACACTTCTCATATGCACAATTTATAAACAGTTTTAAATGCTATTATTCCTTCAACGGATGCATACAAGCTCAGCAGATAAAATGATGAAGCAGAAATTGAAAGTACAATTACAAAGAATACCACCCTGATGTTCTAACCAACACCCAGCAAGATACAATGTAAGGTGATTTAGAACAGCACAAACCTACACTATATTCAACTACTGTAATATTCTGGATAAGCTAATCTAAAAAAGGATATATATATCTATACAGATCACAACTTTATTTAAGGACCTTGACCGATCTATATTTCAAACTTAGTTTATATAAAATGCAGATTCCTGAAACCCAAACTTAAGTGATTCTGATTTAACAGACACTGAATGGGAGTCAATAATCATTAATTTTTAAAAGTACCCCAAGATGAGAAAATACTTGTAAGCAGGTGACTTAGAGTCCCTAGAGTTTCAAAATACCAACCAAATGATGACAACCAGAGGTGAGGGTAAGGCACGTATTTACAAGATGATGGCAATGTAATCCAAACTGTGCACCTTTCTAGCTTTTTCCTTTGGATAGTCTTCTACACTGTTAACCCTTTTCCTTTTTTGTAAAAAAGGCAACGCTGATAATCCACAAATTTTATACAGGTATATTAAAAAAATGTACAAATGTGTCCAAAATTACTTATAGCACTATAGAGATATTTATAAATTAATGATGGCAAATTTTTGGTGTTTCTTTTATGTAAGTTTGGGCTTGAATGCTTGCACCAAACCCCAGGAATGTGCCATTGAGGATGTCTGGGCTAGGAACACAGAGTACATCACACCAGCATCATCATACACACTTATGTTAAGAACAGAAAACTGTTGGGTTTCATGCACACAACCAACCAAATATTTCATTGTGAAATAGCAAATTCCAAGTATCAACATGTATCATGAAAATTACCTGGAGATTAAGTAGGTAGATGGGAACAGAGAATAGAGTGACTATGCGAGACAATCTAGAGAATGAAAATGACTTTGAAGGCACAATCATAGGATGCATAATCCAAGTTAAATCACAAAAAGCCATTTTCAGGAAATAATCAACTCAGTCTCTTGGACTCCCATTACACAGTCAAGGCAATAAGGACAGGAAATCATTCATCAATTCTTACATTTGTGCAGCAAACATTTAGTGGATAACTATTCTCTCCACACATATGTAACAAGGCCAGGCACACAGGACACATACAACTTCTTTGTTTATAGAACAAGCCTGTGGCAGTTAAGACTAGTACAGAAGCAATTATTATATATATACTGTAACAAATAACTTTTGGGTGGCTAATGAAGGCACTTATGCACTCATCTAATGCAGCCCAGTAACATCAATCAAAGATTTAAATATTTGGGACACAACAGCATCTGAAGGTTTCAAACAAGAGAAAAAAGCCTGGCACAGACAAATAACTAAAAAACATATAGATTAAAAGATACAAACTTGCAAAATTTTCAGTGTGTTGCTATTTCCTTCAGGTTTACTCACACTCATCCAGTTTTTAAAAATTCAAGTCTGAATACACACACACACATACACACACAAACCCAGAATAAAAAGGTTTAAAGGTTGCTCTTATAGAAACCAAAAACAAATATAATGTGCACAGTGCTATAAGTATTTTTGTCACATATTTAATTTAACCCACATGAAGTTCATATTCTAATTTTATAGATTTAGAAATTAAAATAAGAAAAAACACATCCTTTGTTATTAAACCTAAATTTAAAAAAACAGTACATATGGCTTTAAATTCAGTACATTAAATAAACTTCCAATCAGGTTTAAATAACTGAGTATTTCCTAGCTTTCTGAGATCTGTTTGACCACAAAGGCAATATTTTCAGTTATTTAGATATCAAAGTCCAAGGTTCAACCTCACAAAAACTTAATCTGAAATTTACAAGGCTCTTCAATTATTTTCCTATAGCTAGAATAGTGATTATCCACCAAAACTGAGTAAGTAATACTAAACTAAGTTTTATGTAATATGACGCACCTGTTGACTTGAAAATTTCACTTTCGGATTGTTATCTATCTCCCATAAACCTTCATTAAAGCCTTTTCGTTTATTTGGTTTGCCGTACTTTTCCTTATTTTCTGAGTAAGGAAATATGTCCTTTGGGCCTAAAAAAGCACTAAAAAAGGAGGGGGGAAATATGAGTGTAACGCAATCTCAAATATAAGTAATTAAATACTACTACCCTATGAACACAATTATCAAAAATTCTTAATCTAAATGCATTAAACATCATACATAAGTTAAAGGGTAGCCACAAATAACTGTTTAATTCCAAACACCTTTATTAAATTCAGTCAGAAATTTAATCCTAGATCCATAATTCTATTTAAAAAAAAAACACAAGTTGCACAATAATGTACTGAATGCCACTAAACAGTACATTTGAAAATGATTAAAATGGTAAATTTTGTGTAAGTTTACAAATTTTTCTATAAAAATGCATAAAAATGAAAAAATGTGACAAGACTGCATTAATCAATACATTTAAATTAATTCCAACTATAGTTTTACTTCAAAGTAATTTGGAGTATTATACAACTCAAAACACTGTCAATAAGGTATATGTATGTTTTAATATTTATTTATGTGTGTAGATTTCTTGGAATAAATGTTCAGAATTTTATTGTATTCAATGAGGGAATCAGACGTTATCGCTAGTTCATTTATGTGTGTATACACATATATACACATGCGCATGTATACACATACATATTATAGTCAATCCTTTTATTCATGATAATTATATTCTAAAGTGTCACCATGAACACTGAATTAAGGAAATACTATACCACTGCTGCAGGAGAAATACAGGGTAGTGGTCATATTTTTGTCAACCAATCAATATATAATAATGTTTTATGCAGTTTTCTGTTTACAGACACCTTAACTGAACTTATAGATAACAGCTTATGTAACACTCATCTCCTCCATAAGGCACAGCAGTCTTCTTGCACTGAGGAACACTGGCCAGCACATCAGCACCACTTTAGGGTGCTGTTATAAACAACAACAGGTTCTTGGCCACCTGATGCGAAGAACTGACTCATTTTGAAAAGACCCTGATGCTGGAAAAGATTGAAGGCAGGCAGAGAAGGGGATGACAGAGGAGGAGATGGTTGGATGGCATCACCTACTCAATGGACATGAGTTTGAGTAAACTCTGGGTGTTGGTGGTGGACAGGGAGAGGTGGCGTGCTGCAGTCTATGGAGTCGCAAAGAGTTGGACGCGACTGAACTGACTGGTAAACAACAAAATGACCAAGGAAAAGGTACAAAAATGCAAAATCCATGACACTACACAGACTGCAAAAAGGACACTTGTTTCCAGTATGACAGCTGAAACAAGGTAAAGCACAGCCTTCCTTCAGCCTCAGCGAGGAATGCGTGCATCACGTTACTCCAGTTTTTGCCACTGCACACAGTACCATGAAGACCCCACAGTTAATGACTTAGGATTACAAGTAAATTTCAGTAAGCAGGCAAATTCATAAATGTGGAACCTGTGAATGATGACAATCAATTATTTGTGTGTGTGTGTGTGTGTATGTCTTTAGATATAATCCCCAGAACAAACCCCTTGTTTATCTCCCTAGATCAGTCAGTTCTGCAGAAGTTTGTCAATCCTATAAAGGTAGATTCAGAGAATATGTAAGGTTTTTGCCGTAATAGTTGATATATATGTATTCTCCAAAGCAAGAGAATCAAATTACTACTCATTTCCTCTAAAATATGCTACAATTTAAGATTATTAATTACTAATTATGTACCACAAATTCCGTATCCACTAATTATGTACCACAAATTCCATATCCACTGCAATTTTTTAAGAATTAGGGACCTATGACTATAGTTAACATTCTAGTTTAGAATATTTTAAAAGGCTTTAGAATAAAATTTCAACAGGAGACTAAGAGCTCTACTTAAATATGATCAATTATATAAGTTGGCTTTAATTATTATTTAAATTTTTCAGTTTACAAATACTCAAAGTATCCATGTATTTTAATTGCACATCAGTTAAGGCACACAAATTATCATGATTTCATCTGATCAGAAATTCAGATTTTTACTAAGCATTATTCACTCCTACCCGCAATCTAAGCTTAGAAAATTTAACATATTTAGTTAAAACAGTAAAGCAATTCCTCCAGCATAATCATGTCCAAATTCCAAGTAAATGATTTGAATTAAAACTCCACCAAAAATACAATATATACTCCTGGTAAGAACAAAGTGATTCTCCCTCCTAAAACCTCACAACTTCTATAAGGCTAAGAGATATTATCAGATTTGGAAGCTGTAAAGAATGAGAAAGTTGGGTACTAAACAGCAATGTGGAAAGTGAGACTAATTTATAGTTTGAAATCCCCAAAGGGTTCAAAACTGGTGGTACCAGGAACTTCAAGAAGTGGAAGGGACCTTAAAATATTAAATACTTAATTACAGAAAAATGTCTTAAAACCTCAAACATGGGGCATTTTTAAATGATCCTAAACTGAAACGCTATTCAAAAGGGAAAACTGATTCTTTCTTGTTGTTTAGTTGTCCAGTCGTATCCAACTCTTGCAGCACACCAGGCCTGCCTCCCTGTCCTTCACCATCTCCCAAAGTTTGCCCAAGTTCATGTCCACTGCATCAGGGATGCCATCCAGCCGTCTCATCTTCTGACACCCGCTTCTCCTTCTGCTCTCAATAAAAACTGATCCCACCATGATATTATCTAGTGTATAAAGGTTTCAGTCAAATTTATATGGATTATTTTTCTTTTCCCAAAACAGGTAGTCCCCACTTTGCATGACAACAAGAGACCACAAATCTGACCATGCAAGGCAATCTTATTGAAAAATAGGAAAACTTAAAATTGTTCCATAACCTTCAAAAGTTGTCAAAATATTAAATGCACTATTACTGATAGTGTGTAAGGAAATTGGGTTGCCATGCCCTTCTCCAGGGGATCTTCCCAACCCAGGGATTGAACCCACATCTCTTACCTCTCCTGCCTTTTCTGATACATCTACACAAAAACTTGTACACAAGTGTTTACAGCGGCATAGCAGCAAAAGTCATTAAAGACCACACATTGTATAATTCAATTTATATGAAATGCCCAGAATAGGCAAAATGATTATTGATTCCCAGGACTTCCCTGGTGGTCCAGTGGTTAAGACCCCACGGTCCCAAAGCAGGGAGCCCGGGATCTACCTCTAGTCAGGGAACCACATCCCATATACTGCAACTAAGAGTTTGCATGCCAAAGTAAAGAACCCAAGTGCTGTAACTAACACCCAGCACAGTCAAATAAATATTTTTTTAAAAAAATGATTAATGGTTCCCTATGGCAATACAGGGGAGAGACAGGAGAAACAAGAAGTAACTGCTAATGGGTACAAGGTTTCTTTTTGAAATGATGAAGATGTTCTAAAATTGTACAAACAGCTACATGATTCTGGATATACTAAGATCTATTATATGTTTTAACTGAATTGTTTGGGATATGAATTAACATCTTAATAAAGTTGTTAAAATATTTTTCAGTGAATACCACATTCCAAAGAAAACAAAAATGATCAAGAACTTTACCAACTACAGATAGCCACTGTTTTCACCCATCTGTTTGTAGTATATGTATCTATATAAACATGTAATTTTAATGTATACGCTGCTGCTAAGTCGCTTCAGTCGTGTCCAACTCTGTGCGACCCCATAGATGGCAGCCCACCAGGCTCCCCCGTCCCTGGGATTCTCCAGGAAAGAACACTGGAGTGGGTTGCCATTTCCTTCTCCAATGCATGAAAGTGAAAAGTGAAAGTTAAGTCGCTCAGTCATGTCCAACTCTGAGCGACCCCAAGGACTGCAGCCTACAAGGCTCCTCCATCCATGGGATTTGCCAGGCAAGAGTACTGGAGTGTGTATGTATATGCTACTGATCCATAAATACTTTTTCAAATTATAACGAACATCTTTTCACATCAACAGTTACTTAACAGCTAAATACTATTTCACTGAATAAATTCCCCAAAATTAATTTGTCTACTGTCGGACCATTTCCTGTATCAAATTTTCTATTATAAAATGTAGCTATAATAAATAATGTATTGCTCCATCTTTTCACATATTTTCCTAGTAAATTCTAAGTAGAACTGCTGCCTCAAATGGTATATTCAAGACTACAGAGCTCCTTAATGAGATTCAAAAAATTATGGTGGATGAAAAAAGAATCCTTCCATGTTGTCACCACAAAAAAGAAATGACTAATTATAGGACCTGATGGAGGTTGGAGGTGTTAGCTATCACTATGGTGGTAGGTAAGCATAACGCAATATATAAATGTATCAAATCATGGTGGTAATAACACTGCAATATATAAATGTATCAAAATTAACATACCTTCAACTTGTGCAGTATGCATCAATTACATTTCAACTTTTTTAAAAAAGAGGAAGAAAACACAGGCACACACAAAGCATCCTCCCCAGGGATGCAATCCCATAGGTTTGGTGAACAGGGATCAGATTAATTTTTCAGCAGCCATCACTAGTCCCCAAGGCGCAACCTTCTGTAGCTGTAGCTTTGATTCATCCTTCAAAGCTGTCAATTTTTAAATGACATATAAATCTCAAAGAAAATACACTAAAAACAGTAATAGGTTTAGGGGTTTTTTTACCCTAAAAAACAGTAAAAATGATGTGCTTCCTTTGTAGAGAACTTTCAATGTTGTTTAAAAAAATTTTTTAATAAAGATATACATTAACTGAAAGCACATTACCCACCATATTCCAGAGCTGAAAGCAAACTTAGGGATCACCAAGATCCTCCTCGTTAAAGATTAGAAAACTGAAAGCCAGAGAGATTAACAGATGCAAGCAAGGTTATTGAGCTACTAAATAGCAGAGCCTTCACTCTGTACAATGTTCCCTTAAACAGGTTCCATTTAACCACTGTAATACAGTGTCTGAAACACTGATTTATATATTAATAAAATATCCCTATACATATGAACTCAGTTCAAATACCAATTGTCAAAGCCCACAAGGATTAAAGCTAATGGAAAATGTCTTAAGAAAAAGCAAATCATTAACTACAGTATTAATTTTATAATTCTGAAGCAACTTAAAT